CCACTGTCAAACTCTAGAGAATCAAAACACTCCCTAACATACAGGGCTACCCCACAGCCTTCATGTAGGTAGACTTCAAGAGCAAACCAGCAGTACAGATGAATTCAGTGTTAAAGTGAATGGAACTAGAAAAATCTTAAAAATGTGATACTGCTATGAAAATAAATTCTAGAGATGTTCTGATTACTAAAAACTCAAAGAGCCCTCACGTATAATCGTGCTTTTTAAACAGCAGCTGTTTGCATCTAAGCTGCTGTGAAGAACAATTAAGAAAACTAAGTTAACCAGAACTTTTGAGAGCTTCCTTTCTTCTGCTACTCTCATCAAATGCAGTCTTTGTTGTGCCCCAAGAGTAATTTCTCATCCAGACTATGTATTTTCTTTTACCATTAATATAGCTTTCCACAGCACTTAGCAGAGGCCAGTTGACTTGGATCAAAAAGAGGTTGGTCATAGTCATTACATCCTAATTTGCCACAGCATGGCCTTCTCTTTTAACCAGACTCATCTCATGTCTGCAAGGCTTGTTGTTGGGAAAACTAAGAAACGTGTAAAGGTTTTGGTTTGATAAAATAGACACAGAACAGGGGTCCAAGCCTACTGTTGGAAGCAGCAGACCTAACAGAGAGCTTCCATTACTCCATAAAAGAGAGGTCAGTGTTTCCTCCTTACTCAGGTCTGTCCATGCTCCACCATGCTTCATTCCTGTCCCAGTTGACTGTATTCAAGCACTTATATAAAACAGTATGACTGCATAGCAATCAGTTCCTCCCAAGGTCCAGGTACCCTCAGAGGATATAAGGACACACACACGAGGCTAACAATGCAGCAATAGACTGCAACTTTTCATCCTTCCCCACAGGAGCTGAGGAGATTATCCTGACAGTTTGGACTGGTCCTCAGTGCTGCTGGTGCAAAAATGAAGTCCAGTGATTTCACTACCACTATTTGCATGCTCCAGTCTCAGTTCAATTCAAGTACAGAAATTCTGACACTGGGGTCACTTAAATTAGTGCTGGGACTATTCAAGTCTCGACTCTCCTGTTTTAATTCAATCTGAGATAAAGCCCAGCAAAGTCGATTGGAAGCAAAAGATTTGGTATTGGGCCCCAAGATAATTAAATACTAAGTTATAGTAACATGATTTTCCTTCATGTACATTTTGTTAAAAAAACCACAGTGGATTTTTACTAATATAGAAGCATTTTTAGTAATTTTTATGGCTATGTAGATAAGATGAAATCTTTAAGTGTTTCAAAAACACAAACAATGTTTATTTGTTGCTCATAAGTAATTAATGGACCCAACAATATTCAACAAAATGCCTTCATTTTTAACAGATCTCTTAATGAGCATCATTTTACAGAAAACCACCAACAAATAAATAAAACAATTGCTTTTGGCATCACAATTGTTAAACACATTAAATAATTCATTAAATTGTGCTTTACATCAATGAAAATCCCTAGGTCTACAAACTATCTTGTAAATAGGAATGAAAGTAGATATGTTTACTCACAAGACAATCTCTTAGCAGCAGAGTTCACAAACATGATTGCACATAAACAGAAGGAAAATTCCTAGAGAAGAAAGTAATTTACAGCCTATTAATTGACCCTTTCATTTTAAATATGGCAACTGAAGGGAACTCTTTATTTTTCCCTTCACTTCCAACATTTATTTGAAATCACAGAGATAGTGATATGGCCAAGAAGAAGGCCAAGGACATTGTAAGCTATGAAACCCATTTTCCTCCACAAAATATAGACAAAGAAACTATTACAAGAATCAAACTGAAAGAAGTGTTACAGTGCAAATTGGGCACCTTTTCCGAGTGTGCTTTTGCCACATGTAAGGAGGATACAGCAATCTGCTTTAGCAGATGATTTTATTGTGATTGTTCATCTTGTACATAGTAGTCTCCAGCAGCCTGGAAACAAGATAGTCCTTATCCAAGACCAAAACCTAAAAATTCCATATGTAGCAGGGGAACAGCAACAGAGGGAAAAAAAATGAGGTAAGTTTTAAAGCATCAGTGCTTATAACTGAAACAAGAGTGTAGGTGGGAAACAAGAACCCTCTAGGGCAGAAGGAAGCATGTGCTAATGAGAAGACCAACTTAAGAAACCTCCTGTTTTAGTACCGGATGTCAAATCTGAACGATCTCCACATGCAAAGGTGATGTGACCTGCCATTTGGTTGAATAGATATGCTACAGTTATGAAGTCTGGCTTTGGATCTGACTTCCATCACTTTTTTGTTCTGTACTTCTGCTTCTAGTGAAGATCAAATAACTGCTGCATATTGGGTAGAATGCCTAGCAAGGTTATCATAGCCTCACTACTAACAGAACTGCAGTGAAGAATATCCAGTTTCACAAATGGTGTTTTTTCTTTCTCCATGGTTGTATTGGGTCTGGCTGAGATGGAGTTCATTTTCCCACAGCAGCCCTCACAGTGTTATGTTTTCTATTGGCAGCTGGAAGGGTGTTGATAACACACCTTATTTTGGCTACTGCTGAGCAGTGCTGGCACAGCATCAGTGCTGTCTCTCACGAGGGGTGGGCAATATCCTAGAAGGGGGCACAACCAGGTCATTTGACCCAAATTAATCAAAGGGATATTTCATACCATAGGACGTGAGCTCAGATATAAAAGCTAAGAACAGCAAGAGGAAAGTGTGTGTGTGGGCATTCATTATTTACAGTGTTTGCCTGCTGGAGCAACCGCTACACGTGCCGAAGCCCTGATTACTGGGAAGTGGCTGAACATCACTTGCTGAGGGAGAGTAGAGAATAATTCTTTCTTTTTCTCTTTGCTTGTGCATGCACAAACTTTCACTTTTGCTTTAGTAAACTGCCTTATCTCAACCTATGAGTTGTTTTCTATCTTCTTCTCTCTCTCCTGTCCAGCTGGGAAGGGACAGTGATAGAGCAGCTTGGTGGTCACCCGGGGTCCAGCCAAGGTCAAACCACCACAATTGTGAAAAAGCTTTTTATTGTTATCATTGATGAGTGGGAAAGAGGACAAATTATCATTCCTCAATAAAGTATGGCCCATAAGGCCATAAGCTGAGTTCTTGGACTAGACATCTAACTATCAGAAACAAGTTCTAATGACACAGCATGTTTCTCCATCCACTCCTAGCTTACAGTGAATTATAACTGGAAAAGGCAGGCAATGCTGGGAATGTGATGGGAAGGATTAGTAAGTACATCTCCACTACAAAAGAATGAGATTTGTTTCAGCACCACAGTAGCACAAGCCAAATTGCCTTGTTTAAGCAACAAAATAATGCCAGAAAGATGGACAGAAATCCTATAGCACTGTTGCTCATGAAGGTTTAGAAAGAAAAATGGTGTGCTCCAATCTTATATGAGTCAGTGTAATTACAGTGAAGTCCATGCTGTCAGAGCAATGAAAACCTGGAATAACAGATATATGAAGCAGGGCCTTTATTTTGCATTACATTCTTTCAAGCACAGCATCCAAGAGGAAAAAAACTGCAAGCCTGTGTATTAGCAGTCAGCCTGAAAGTATTTCCAAACTGCTTTATTTGTCATGTGCCAAGAAATTCAGCTAAGGAAAACAGGATTGTTGGTGCAGTGAGTTTGCCTGATCTACTGCTGGAGCTGGGGAAGGAAGTGCCAAGTCCTTCAGTCCCACGGGCTCTGAGCAAGATCTTAGCTGCTAGCTCTCTGCCTCTCTCAAAAAAACCCCGAACTAACAAAACCAATATACCTATTCCTGCACAACCAGGGCTATCTGCTACAGAGGCTCCAGAGGAAAAAAAAAATCCAACAAACCAACTTCAATTTTAACTAAATCCCAAGCGTTAAGGTAGATGCCACAGCACATTAACAGCTCTTCAGGACCTAATCTTGTCTCCTGGGAAATGACTGATGAAGAGGTTAGGCATTGCATGATGATATTGCCAAACTATTAAAGCTAATGTAAAGGGCCTAAAGACTGCTTAGATTTTCCTCATTAGGCTTTGCTTTGTATAAGACAGAAGGAATAGTCTGGAGAACAGTTGGTGTCCTTAGACAGCCAAAACTAATACTTACAGTCACTGGTGAGGCTCCAGAGAAGCATTTCTGAAGCACTGTTTCTTCTCCCCTGAAAAGATAGCACTGCATTTTCTAAATTAAAAGTGAGGACCCCACTGCTGTGAGCAGCATAGAGAGACGGTCTGCTGGGGAAAGTCAGCCACACGAGGAAGGGGACACTTTTTTTTTGCACTTAGGAGAAAGAGAAAGGAACGCCTTACCAAAAAAAAAAAAAAGAGTTGGAACTGATTTTACTTCCTCACCTACCTTCCTCCTTAATGTGAATTTGGCCTTGCATCTCTCTTCCCACATGGATGGCTTCTCTCCTGCCCTTTAGGGTCTCCCCAGAACCCCTAGCTCCCTGTGCACATGGAAACAAGAAGTGCACCTGCAAGTCCTGGAGAGAGAGTACCAGGTGCAAAAAGCATCCTTCCCCTCTCTTGCTATGTGGTCTGCAGAAAGATGCAGCAACAAGCGTGGGAATGGGGAGATGCAAGAGTTCCATTCATCCCTGTGTCACCACCCAGAAAGCTCCTTTCCTCTGCAGGGCCAGGGCCAGCCCAGCCTAAAGCCCTGGTGCCAGCAGATAAGATGTCAGATCACTGTGAATTACCTGCACTGAGTTAAAGATGCAATAAAACTGGTCAGGCTTAGCTCTTCATGGCCTCACTGTCCTGCAGCCAGGACACCCAGAGTGAGCTTCAGTCCTTGACTGTAAAGATTTCAATTTAAATCTCTGAAGGCAGGTGACCATATATGAGTGAGGTGTCTGAGTGCCTCTTCCAAGCGACGGGGATCCCAGCAGTACCATTCGGGATGTCTTCTCTAAGGCAGACATCCCATGCTCAGATAGAAGAATAACAATCTGCAGCCCTGCATTTTCCCTTCTGAATGCACATGATCCACCAGTGGAACAGGTATAAGGGACCAAAACCCACCGCTACTCACCCCAAAAGTAGCACATTGACAATCAGATGTAAAGCAGTGTATTGCTAATGAACTACATTGATAATGAGGTATCATCCCAGTATGCCTCTTCACTTCTTCATGCTATTATGATACTTCATGTTTAATGTATTACTGTATGCATTAACTCTCAATGGGATCATTAGATTGTATTTTTGATATCCTGCATAGATAAGTAGCAAGAGCATTGTCGGAAGAAAAGAAGCTACAGCATGCACAAAAACCCCCCTAACTTAGAAATGAAGGAATCAATTTTCAAATTCAGCCTCTTTTTTATGTAATGCATTATTTTTTTAACCAACTGGATAGAAACCTCAAATTCTGCAAACAAATGAGAAGTGTGCATCCACATCAGGTACTCCAGTACTTCTAATTAGTAAATCTGTAAGGTAAAAGCCATTCATGCATGCAATAATATACTTTCAGCATCTCGATTTAGCAGCCACGTTGAGGCACTTAGAGAAATTTCCTCCTAATGCTTTACAGTTATGCTAGAAGAAGAAGGAAAAAGACTCTCAGAAGATCTATGTTACACAGGACCCTCTTTTTGAAATTTCACTGTTACAAATGAAAAAACATAAAATATTGGAATAAACAGATGCAGTTTAGCCATAAGAATGTAACACGTGGAGGAAGAACCCATTGAATATTTTTCTAGACAAGGAAGAAAAACAGATACAGATCTCTCATCGAGAAAACAATAAATTTACAAAGAATTTTCATACAGAGTAATAAATATCAAGACTTTCCACATATCCATTATGTATCCTATAAAAATGAAAGCTGCTTTTTTTAAAGCCACTACTGTAGTTAGAGAGAAAACCAATTTAAATTGTATTCACTTGGTATCAATGTATTTTAACAGACAATATCATAAACCTGCCTAACTTCACAGACAATATATTTCCAGGCTTTTACAGCAAATCTGGAAAATGTCACACTGATATTTAAGCTTTTCCTGCTCTCTCTTTCCTCTTCTCTGTAGTTTGCTTGATCTCTTTTGTGAATGTGAAGGCAGATTTCATTGCCTCCAGCCAGATTATCTCCATAATGTGTGCCCAGCTGCCACATGGACCTCATTTCTCAAGGCTTTGCCTTTGCCACATACACTCAGAAAGATGGCTGTTACCAGGCTGGGTTTGGTACTCTCAGAATCTGCAGAGAAATAAGCTAACCCCTTCACCACTTCACCTATAAACCATCTCTGCTTGCTGGCTAACAGAACAGAACAAGCAATGTCCCAATCCCACACTTTCTAGGTCTTTTTTATCATCTCACCAAATTCTTCCCTTAATTGAAACACAGCATGTAGAAGTTTGGAGGGCAAAGTGGGTACCTTCCTCCATTTCATTGACTAGAAAGTTATGCACTACAGTTGCAAGGAACAGTACCAAATAAACCAGCTCTCATGTCACAAAGGAGCCAAGCCAGGTATTTTTTCCCAATTTTTCATTCATGTCTGCACAAGTTTTAGTAGCTCAGATTGTATAGGGTACATCTGTTAATGCAAAGGATATAGCTCTCTCTTCAACCCGTCCTCGTAGCTTAGGGCTTTGAAGGAAGTCTTTTTGGACAGAGAATCTTATTCTACTGCCATTTAGGAACACTACTCAGTACCTATTGAGAAAACAATACATTTTCACTGGCAGAAACCAAAAAAAAAACTGAGACAAGGAGGGGTAGTTGTCAGACGAGGTCTCATTTACCAAAGCAGTAGGTCTTCCTTGGCTAATTCCCAGGTAGCCAAGTTGCACAAACTCTCTAATCCTCTCATTGGGTAGTCAAGGTGGAGGAGCATCACCACCTTGCGACCTGACTGTTATAATCTTCTGTAATGGCTACTTCTGCTGCCTCTTCCCTTGGCCACTGGTGAACTCTCTGCTCCCTCAGCAGTCGCCGCTCCTCTCGCCTCTTCAGCCGGTTTTTCTGATGCTCCTCTTGCTTGGAGTACTGGAAGCGCTGCAGGAACAGGTCCTTCGCATATTCATACAGCTGCATGTCCAAGAAATTCAGCTCCTCTATCCGTTGCCGCACATCCTCGCCAATGTCCACGTTGGAGGCCCGCGTAACATTGAACTGGGTGAATGGGGAAATGAATTTCAGGTTGAATGTTCTCTCAAAGAGATACTGTGTTTTCCTCTGAAATTCTGTCAGCCCAAAGAAGGCCATATTTTTCAGATTGTTCTTGGCGCTTTGGAGAAGAATCATATTTCTTTCACTCTCGTTCATAAAAGTCAGGTTGTAGCATCCCACCAGGCTGAGGTCTGCCAGCATGCGCACCTGGCGATTGTTGGCCAAGTTGTAGCTACAATCCATGAATTCCTGTAAACTGACTCCAGACCAGTCATCTCCTTCATAACAGGTAGGCAGCTCGTCTGGTGTTGGGCTTCTTCCATCGCACATATGAAGGGAAGTTTTCCACGTCGCACCCCTCTGGACATGCTTCCATTCACTCAAGTACCTTGACACTGGATCTCTCAGCATTGTGATGTAATAGAAATTTCTGAAATATATAATTAAACACAGTTTTAAGATTTCAGTAGATTTCACTATTCATTCTACAACAAAAACATTACCTGAGAGTGGCATCACACCCTTCACTTTTTCCAGTGTAATGTAGGCACTTTAAAGTGGCTACTTCTGAGACAGAAAAAGTTTCATAAATACCATGAATAAAGTGCAAGGCAAACTGTGAGAAAAATAAAAATATGAAAGGAAATAAGCAGTTATCAGAGAAACAGAATTACTTTGACCTATCACAGTTACTTTTTTCAGTCACAGTTACTTTGTGAAACCAATTAACTGAAATGTAGTCCCTTCTACTTTGAAGTGTTAACCCTCAGTAACAGTGGGAAAAGAGGTTGATATAATCTTGCCCCTTCTCTCCTGGACGGAGTCACATGTGTCACAAAATGCACAAGATAATAATCCATACTGCACTTCGTCACTATATAAGAAAAGCATGAGTAATTTCATGTGGATGGTGCAAGTGTGAAAAATAATACCATGTGGAAGACTGGCATGAGCCACCTACTTAAAAAAAACTCCATTATTAAGTGGGTTGGAGTGAAGATAATAAGAGACCCAAAATCCATTCATATGACTCAATTTTAGACAAGTGCTTGATTGAAATTAGTTATAATTGTGTAATACAAAAGTATTTGTTGGTGTAAAGACTATCATTATTCAACCTCACTGTCAAGACTACAAAAGAGACACCATGATATATTGATTTGGAATAGAGCAAATAACTACAGAACTCACATTGTTAGTTCATCTTTTAGCTATGAAATTCAGTTTGTACATCTATTTATGGCAAACTGAAAGGGACTGCAATCGAATATGCATCAAGGAGGCTTTCAGAGATTGAGTTTTTTTTACTGAGAAATGTTTTACTGAATAATAACTTCCCTGAACTATAAGGTGATATCATAAACACAAACCAAAAACAAAATACTCATGATTTCTGTCAGTTAAAATAACCAGAAGAAGATTCATGACTAAAATTAACACACAGTCTGGTTCAAAAATAGGCTCATGAGTTTGCATGACTCATTTGACTGCAAACAATACATTAATAAATCATGTGTCCTAAGATTTCTTAAGAAAAGTCTGATTTCAGTACTCTTTTTGAGCCTAGGGAAGGACAAAGGAAGTAAGCAGAAAGCAAGCTTGCTAAAACAAGTTACCCTGTGAACAAACCAACATTTTGAGAGAGCCATATAATAAAGAACTAGCTCCAATTAGATGAAAAATCTCAAAATTTGTAACAATCTCCAAGATGATTACTTTGCTTTTCCAGATAACACACACTTTCTGCCACTGAAGATTCACTACCTCCATAAACCCTAGGTTTGTCATAAAATATATATTTCCCTCCATATTCCTAAAAATGCAGATATATTTCCCAATGTAGACAAGGCAAAAGGCAACAGGTCTGAATGCTTTGTCCTTATTCATCCTGAGTTCTCCACCCACAGAATTTTCTGAAATAAGGTTGTGAGGCCAAACTATGGACTATGTTCTGCTGCAGGGTCATTTCCTGAGCTGCTATCTAATGGAAACAGCTGTTTCAAGAATTATTTCACAGCAGAAGCTTTACAGGTGGAAGGATTTAAACTAGGGAATGCCACGAACGTATTGTCATTATCACTTGCATTGGAAACCAAGATCTGTGTTAGCATCGAATGACACTCTGAAGGATGATACTTCCAAAATCATTTGGAGCTTGGGCTTTCTGACTGCTACTCACACATGACCAAAACGCACTTCAGCTGTTTTGATCCCCTTCAGTTACTTACACAGCCCACATCAACACTGAATCTAAGGATCCCACAACCATTCATAGACAGATATTTCTAAAATCCCTCTTCTAGTCTTGCAGAGTAGGAAGCACCAGGAATCCTCCTGTGTGCTCTGCAGAATAGTTCCACTATGAAAAGCACTGTCTTTGGGCACTTCAGGTACAGCTTTCTCTTCTCAGATTGGATGATCATCTCATCTTGGCTTTACACTGTATGTATGAGAGCACATTAAGAATTGCTTTCCAACTAATAGGACAAAAAGGGGGCACGTTTCACTAGTGTTGTGCAGATAAAATAGCCCATATCCCAAACACCCATCAACTCTGTGTAAGACACTGTTGCTGCAACATCCAGCAGGTACGGATAGGGTTGTGACCAAAAATGATTGAAGCTCCAAGGGAGCAGAAATGTAAAACAGTGGACAAAGACTCAGAGACAGTTGCCAGCATCTACATCAACAGAGATGTGGCATTGGCTCAGTCCTTGTATTGCCGCCCCTCCTCTATTCAGATAGTTTTGGATGTTAATATGTGGTAACAGATGGGTTTAGAAGTTGCTCTTGACAGTTATTTATACCCCTAATAATAGTTCTGTCTTTCCTCACCCATCTCTAGCAGTCACAGTCAGGCATGACTCAGAGCAACAACAATTAACAAAAATACCTCCTTTGCATCAATCATTTCCATTTCATCCCTGGACATGTAAATATGTTTGATGTACAATAAACAGGTCTATGAAGCAAATGCATGGAAATGAGAACAGTGCATCTTTGTATAACATCTGCAGCTTCCCTTCTGCAGACTGGGAGAGAAACTTCCGTCAGGCTGCTGTTGCTGCTCCTCCTTGTGACTACCTGACTTCTGCATCTGTTTTCACTGTCCTGATTAATCTCTTTCTGGTTTCTGCAGCTTTCATAGAGTTGCCTTCTTGTGCTATCCACTGAATGGCTTCTTTACCTGGTAGACAATCTTTAACAGCAGCTTGACACACATTTAGTTTCTGAGGCACTAATAGCTTATGCTACATTCACAATTCACAGCCTTCTGATTAATTTTCTGTTTGTGACTCTCTGTCACCCTTTTAACCAATCTGGAGTCGGAAGACCTTAGGATTTCTTCCATCTAATCCTGAGCACTGGTCAGACGACACTATTTTACATGCTACAGAGAAGACTGGGGGGATGCTGCACCACAGTTATGCACAAAGTTTTCTTTCATGGAAAAGGATATCATGTCTCTAGAATAATGATATAAGTAAAAATACATAGGTCGTGCACATTCGTTTCAGCTGGAAAATTATAAAAATTATCATAGGAAATTGTTTTCAAATGTTGACATTTATGGATTAAATACAGAACCATTTCAGAGCTCTCAGTGCCTTATACACAAGTGTTCAGTCACGCTAGGAATGGCTGAGGAGTCAGCTCATAATAAGGAAGAGTTCATAAAAATATGAAACTGAGTATGGTCTTCAGTCCGTCCTTTCTTCACTGTTTGGTAACATTGCATAAAGTTAGCTAAACAGTGAATATGCTTGAGCCACTCTGAATCTGGATGTGCACTTGTTCTCTTTGGTGCAAATGACACCCTTGCATCACCCATGCTCATGCTTACATGGCTATGTTAAACTTCATGGCTACCCACTGTGGGAAATTCTGAGTGAAATATTAAGTAATCACTTCTGTTACCCTGTCTGACAAAGCAAACTCATCACAGACTTACTGGCTTCATTTCAATGGACTCTCACCCTGGATTACTCAAACTACTGTCACAGACAGCCTCAGTGCTTAAAGGCTAGCCAAGAAGAATACACTGGCATATCAGTAAGAAGATATCTTACACAAAATATCACAAATTAATTTAAAACCCATGCAAATTATTTATATATGTACATATCTCTCAATAGATATATCTCAATATATGTATCAGCACATGCATGTGTATGTGTGTGTGTAAAAATTTACATTGAAATCTGGTCATAAGTTAGAGTTGTCAATGACAGAAAAATTATATTAAATGCATGTGTGTGTTTGCCAATGTATCTTGTGACTGTATAAACACATAGACATGTACAAACAGTTCAGATTACATTTCAAACACCAGCCCACTAGTCACAGTCACCTGAAAGGAAACTTTATATAACTTCATCAGGTTAAGCAATCTCCTTTTGAGCATGATGTATTGAAATTAATGGATTATTGAAGCTGTCACTATGGGATAGTTGATATTTTGGACAGGTGCTAAGCACTGTGATGGTCAGGGCAAGGGCCTGATGATTCATGCAAGGGCCCAAACAAGCACTGGCAGGAAGCATGGGCTGCACATTGCTGTTTACACTAGAATTATAAAGCACTTGGTAATTCCTAAGGCTCTAGTCCTACTTACATGAAATGCAATCTCTTCATTAGCATTAGGCAAAGAAAACCTTTAATTAATAGAACAGATAAAACAAGCTTCTAGCTATAACCTAAGAACATGTATTTCTTCTACATTATAAGGTATTTTAATATAAATACTCTAATCTTACATTAATCCTTCAATAGTATTGCTCTGGTTTAGAAATTAATTTCAGAGGAGCAGAGTCTGCTATTTAGCAGAGGTGATCCCAAGCCAGGGCATTTTGCCTCTTCTATCACCATGGAACAGATGTCCCAGCTGAGGGAGATTTACTAAATATGTGAAGCATCAACGCACATTGAGAACAAAAACATCCTGTAGGGCCTCCTGGGGAAGAAGGATGAATGGCTTCTTCATAAAAGGAGAAGAGTGCGCTCACAGCAGCTGATGCAGAGATGGAGGAATATTTGAGGTTGAGAAAAAGAGTCACCAGAGAATATTTTGGAAAACACTAACAGAGAGAAGAAAGGAAAACCAAAATGACTGAAAAATACAGGTGCATAAAACCATCCACATTCTGGTTCTTCCTGGTAGCAAGGCAAATAAAAGCCCTGGTCAAGTTTATGACCCAAGTGGAGACAAGAAGTTCACAGCTTTAATTGTGGAAGTGAATGTGCTAAAATTCCCAGCAAAAGCCATCCTGTCAGCATGCTTCTGGTAAAAACAGAGCTTGTGGCAAGATGAAGGGTTAATAAGGATCAGCATCATGTGAACAAAAGCCTTATGCCTCCCACTGTTATTCTGAAGCCCAAATTCTCAGAGGCAGTAAAAGAGTTAAGCAGCAATCAGCAACCTCTCTTCCT